AGAAACTCCAACCAATGCTGCTATAGGGGCTGCAGGAAACGGAACTGAGGACCCGGTGCTGGAGGCAGGGACATAGCCTAGGTGGGAGGTCCCAGCACCAGGTGCTAGAGCTCTAGAAACTTCCGAGGCTGCTCTGCTTAGGCGCAGATTAACCCATTATATGCATTCACAGAGATACAAAGGAGAAACGCTGGTTTCGGATGGAGAACATGCAGCAGATGTTGCTTTGTTTTAATTACCATTAGCCTCAGCCTGCATGGACAATGGTGATAGATTCGCTGGGAAGGCCATTCTTCTCTCAGCTGAGTCAGCCTTCTTCAGAATCTACTTTTATGCAACTGAAGGAACCATGCATGTTTATTGATATGCCGATCCATTCACATACTAAATGAGGGTGAGAAGGTCTAACTTTAATAATAGAAAGTGTGTGTCCATGCACACATACACATCCTCCCTCTTGCTACCTTGCCTCTCTGTGCTGTATCAGGTCAGGCCCTTTGCTCCCAAGCCCAGATCACTTCCAATGCTGGAAACAGAAGAATGCCTGCAGTGATGGAGCTGGGAGAGATAAGGCTGCAGAGGGAGAGGATTCAGGTTTGTTTGCTCATCCACACCTTCCATTATACATCAACAGAGCAGATATGTGAACTACTAAGTAAACATGGCTCCTATGTCCTATCTGTTTTGGTCCTTAAATGGTACTGTCTATAATCTCTATGAGTATAAAAATGTATGCACTGTGCCAAGAAATTTTATCATGATTGCTAGTTCAAACATACAAATTCCTCTATGTGGCACCTCCTTGGCAACACACGCTTAGGACAAAACTTTAGTGCAAACCAAGGAACACATATCTAGTGGCAGCTTCTGCAATCAATCTGCATTATCTTCCAGTGGAGCTTAGATAATTATCTCCCTGTATTAACTGCAAGCATGGACATCACCTGGGAAGTGAATGCTTGCACGTAAGCGTGAACATGGCTTGGGGTGGGGAAAGAAATGCACAAGTCATTTTGCTTAATTTCTTCCTAACAACAAAAGCCACCATAGCATTTACAGCAAAATCTGCTCCCTGATTATTGAGCTAGTTCTTTATCCAATTCAGTTTTCCTTAACCTGATTTTCACTCTGGATCATGTAGTAGAAGCTGGAATCTAACACATCTGAAAGGCACCAGACTGGGAAGGCTGATCCAGAGAGTTTTGGCCCCTACTTCTGGCCCAAACAAACCTCCAAGACAGATTCTAAACAGCACCGTCTCTCTCTGATAAGCTGTCACTTCCAAGATCTAGCCTAGCAGTTTACATAAAAGATAAACTCTGAAGCTACATCCACTGATCTGCTTTACATCAGAATTCACAATATGTCACAGAGGTTTCAGAATTCTAGATGCTTGAGTGAACTTCACTTCTGAAGTGTGACAAAAAAGAATAAAACAAAAACGCTTTGAGGCAAGTAAATAAATGTAATGTATTGGCATTCTTCCCCTTGAACAAAAAATAAAAAATAAAGGCAAACCCCTAGAGGAGGAAAAGAGCTTGGACAGAATAAAAAAAATGCCTCAGTCATAACATTATTTTTAACTTGATTCCAAGCAATGCCTTCAAAACAGCTTACAAAGCACATACAAACTAAGTAAAATGCACAGTCAACACCATTTATAAAGTGGTTAAGAACATTCAAGATTAAAAACAATAAATGTAAAGTGTATTTTCCTTTATAGGGATTGAAGACCGCGTGGGTCTGCAACAAATAAATAATAAATAATACAGAAAAAAATAATGAAATTTATAACCTTCCCCCACAAGATAATTCCGATGCAGTAGAGTTTTGATGATCTTCTGGAATCCAATATAATCACAGACATTCATCAAGCACCACAAAATCTAACAGGTGATATAGAAAAACAGATGTAGGTATGCATTTAATTTATATCCTGCCTGTCTTCCAAGACAGGAATTCAAGCGCTGTAACATAGTAAAAGGTGATTAAGATGGATATACTCTTTCTATCCACCTCTTGGTGAAATGGAGAAAACACTTCAAAAAGGAAAACAGACACTCTTAAGAGCTTACTTTAAAGCAAATGGCAGGAATTTGCTTTTTGACAGTGAGCGGGTCTCTCAGTCATTTCTTCAGGATTGGAAAAGAACTTTTGGTGATGTCCACTTTGGAAAGGATCTTAAGAACACATTTTGGGTAGGCGTATATTCACTGCGGTTTCTTAAGAGCTATAATGGTCTCCTGGATTAGCCGAAGCTGCCCATCCCTGCATTGCAGGATCTAAGTTGGTCCCCATCTAATACCCAGACTCAAAGTCAGTTTGAAACAGATCCTGATAATTAGTACTACTTGCTGAAGAGTACTGAACTATTGGTTTGAAAAAGGAGGCTATATGCTACAAGACGTCATTCTAATTAATCACTTCTTCTCGCAAATAACTTTATTTATTCTGCAAACAATTGCTATAATTCTTCAATGTAAAGTTTTAGAAGCGGCTTCAATAAGCCAAGCAGAATGTTAGTTTTCTTGTGCTCTGTAGAGCAATACATTTTGACATCATTTGTGTTCCTAAACTTTCAAACTGATCTCAGCTAGGATATGTTCCAACTCATCTTTGGGGATGACAATGACAAATGAACCATTTTGAATCTGTTGACCATGGGGAACTGATTGACAAGCGGCATGGAACAATATCCTCTGGGTGACACAACATGACATGCAGGATATTAAAACTGCATTCATCCTTATCAGCTCTAGCATACACTCTGTCTGTGTTTGGTACAAGCTACTGGCATTACTCAATATTTTAAGAAATCCACATCTGGACACATTTCAAATTTATGTCTGTATGTGCGAGTCTGGGAATCTGGCAGGAAATTAGAAATCGGTTGACACATAGCTTTCTTTAAGTGATGGTGTGTGTCTATACAATGTCAAGGGTAACCTTGTCTCAGCTCTTGCTATGTTGTTGTTATGTGATACCAAGTTACAGTACTTCTGACACTATGAAATAATGGCTTCCTAAAGGAAGCCATTAACAATCCTACTTGCATCTTGCAAACTAAAGGCTGTGGTTTCCATTATTGAGTGAATCCACATCATCTTAGTACTTCCTTTTTTCCTACTGTTTTCAACTTTTCCTAGCATTATTGTCTTTTTCGGTGAATTTCACTTTTTCACCACTACAATTTATGTAACTGCAGTTTCACTAGGTTAACTAACCATCAAGTTTCTGGCTATTATATCTTAGAATGGAGCTTCTTAAACGTGTTTGTTAAAAATACCAATGTTTCATTTCAGCTATGTAGAACTGCAAAGAACATTGTATAGTACTCCACTGTTGTAAAAGAAAATGTGGACCTGTCCTGACTGGCCATTTGGACGAGGCCTGGATCGAGCTGCAAAGGGTCAATTGAGGTTGTGGGGAAGGAGTGATGTGTCATTTAGCATGCTCCTCTCATCTGAATGGCATATCAACTTTCATGTCAATTAAACTCTTCCCCTGATTGTCTGCGGAGGGTCAGAGAAGTGAAAATATTTTCTTACTGCCCACAGCCACATTTTGAATCAGTAACAGACAAAATGGCAAATAATTAAAAAAAATGTTTTAATCCAAGTGATTCATTGCATTAGCAATGAACTACCAAGCACAATAAAAAATAATTTTACTTCCCCATACCCTTTGCAGATGATCAAGGGAGGTGGTTCAATTTCTGCTATCCTGAAGCCGCTCGTAACTTGGCTTTAGAATACCAGAAACTGACATTGAAAGGAGCTGTAAGGCTGTAGTTTAGTCTGTTCCAAGCTACTACATGCTCTGGGAATAGACTATTTTGGAGCCCTCCAACTTGCACCAAAATAGTAGAGCCCCTTAACAGTGATTCAAAAAGGTATGTGTTAGGACAAATTGGTCTGCTCCAGTGATGCCCATATGGGGATGCAGGAAGAGTGGACTAACCCAACTCTTCAGTGCACTGAACAGCAACACAAATGCCCTTGTGAACAGCCTCTGAGTGCATATTTAGTATGCTATGTAAGTAAGGCCCCATATTGTTGAAATTATATAGAGCATAATCAAAAATAAATGTATGAGAGCTGAACTACCTTGAAGCATTGTTGGGTTGCCACCAGTTCTACTCATACCAACGCTTTAATACGAACCTCTCTTCTTATCCCACCTTAGTTCTTTCCGTTTGGCTCCTTATTTACTGAAGTCTCTGCCATCATAAACCTTCTTCATCCCACTGTTTCCTCTATTTTCTTTAGATCTCCATTTTTTAGCCTGCTGAGCAACCTGTTTACCCTGAATCTGCTCATGCACACTTTGCTTACCAGACTGCGGTTTCACTTATGTGCTTATCAAATTACCATTAGCACACAACCTTGAGTGTCACTAAGTTCTGTCAGTTTGGTCCTCTCCATACTCTATTCTCATCCACTCATTATCTTCCTGCCCTTCTTTCCTTCAGTGCCTGCCTTACATGTATCCTCCTTTATGTTTTTGCTTCTCAGTTCTTTTGTTGTTGTCTATTCTTTAATTTTCCTCTTTGCTGGTGCAGCTGAGTTAACATTCTACAGCCACACAAAATGCCTGCAGTCGCCATTGTTGTAGCCAACAGCACCCAATTCCTACTACTCTTAATCTAGTGTAGTGTTCAAATCATGCAGCCAGTCTACTTGCATTTGTCACTATAGTTGTATTACTTCTCCATGCTGGATTGCAGGTACCAGAACAAGAGTGAGGATATTTATCAATATTCCATGACATGACAGCTTCCCAGCCATTGATAAGATGAGGGCTGCAAAGATGGATGTGGGGAGCTATACTTTTAGTTGTTTGGTTTGGCTTTTGAGGTTTTGTTTTCTGCAACTCAATATTCCACTGGTATAGCAGGCAAACTACTGATCATTTATCTCAAATATATATTAAATTCTTTTTTCATTAAAAAGTGCAGAAAGTTACACAATAAGGGAAACAGCTACTTAATGATACCACACCTTAATGGCTAAGTCACAGTGTTCACTGGCAGTGGTGAGTTGTTCAATGTGTCTGTCCACATCTGCCACAGACAAACTACAGCTGCTCTTCTTTCTTCCACAGACAACATTTTCCAGTCCTGTCAGCACTCTCTGCAGTTCAGAGTTCAAGTCACTACAGGTATCTGTGAAACAAAGAAAATATGTCAGACATGAACTGCAAGTCACCTGAAAATGAAAATATTACCCTTCATTCTTTATTGAAGGAAGGTGGGACAGTGGGGAAAGGTTGCAAACTTCTAAAAGATAACTTGAATAGGCACCCATTTTCTCCACAAATACCGACAATCTAATCTTTGGAGTTATTAATTTACTGTTATCTAACAATTATACAGATTTGGAAGTTATACGCTTGATTTTTATGACCATGCAATACTCTCTAAGAAAGGGGTCTTTCATATGCAACAGATGTTATCAATGGGAGGGTCTTTTTAAAACAATTTTCTGAATCATGCAACATACTGTTCTGAGGGCCAAGAAGGACTTCCCTCCACGCCCACAGGGTGGGGAGACTAATTCATCTTTTATGCCTTCCCATGAAGAATGTAGCATGGCTCGTTTGCATAGGAGTAATCTGCTTTTTAAGTGTCATAATAATTTCAGCAGTTGTTTGTAGTTGCACGTATTCTCATTATTGCAGGGGCAAGTAAGCAGATCTTGCCTTCTCCTAGAATGCATTTCATGATGGATGGCAGAAACAGGGGATAATACCATCTTTCTACATAGCTAAAAACAGCATTTCATCCCTTGATGCACAGTTCCTTTTGGGTTAATATAAGACAGCTTGCACCAGAAGAGATGCAAGGAACTACAGTGGTGCCCGCTGTACAGGGCAGGAAAAGCCTATTGGAACGCATTAAACTTAGTTTAATGCGTTCCAATAGGCGCCAAAACTTACCCCTCCAGCGATGTTTTCGCTGGTCCGGCGGCCATTTTGGAGCCGCCGATCAGCTGTTCGGCTATACGGAGCTGCCCGCGACCTCGGTAAGCAAGGGGAGGGCACGAAAACACTGACGGGGACCATTTCGGGTCACCCGGCGGCCATTTTTGAGCCGCTGATCGGCGGCTCCAAAAAGGCCGCCGGACGCCCCAATCGTCGCAAAGCGAGTGCGGCGATTGGGGCAGCACGGTATAGCGATCCCCAAAAAGGGATCGCTATACGGATTCTTCGTTATACGGTGCGCTCGTTAAGCAAGGCACCACTGTACTTCTGTTCCCTTCTCTGCTCAATTTAATATGCAGTACTTATTCAAAGTTAACTGCCTTCACTCCTCATGGCTTAGCCCAAAGAGATGCATTAGGAAATGCTGGAAATATGAAGAGTAACAATGTCTTCTAAACTGATTTGAAACTGGACAGAATTTGTTTTAATGAATTTCATATAGCAAAACATTGCCAAACCACCTCTTTCCCACTATTCTCATCTCTTCTACTTTTTTCTTGTGTAATTACAATATTGTGTTACATTGTACTCAGCATTTTACACCTAATTTTCCAGTGTATGTGTTCTGTACCATCAAGTTGGAACTGACTTAAAGCGACTCTAATAGTGCTTTCAAGGTAAGTGAGATGTTTAAGGAGTGTTTTTACAAGTTCTACTCCCTCGGTGAGTTTCCCTGGCCAATTGGGGATTCAAACTCTATTCTCCAGAGTTCCAGGTCACCATTCACTGATCACAGTAAACAACAGAGGTTGTTCCCTTCCTCTAGAGATCCATTGAACCCTGAACCACAGTATTCCATACCTTGTGCAAACTACAGCTTAAAAGGTACATTTAAGCAAGATGAGACAATTTGTACCAACCAAATGGTCCATATTTTAGTAGTGATTTTACTTTGAATAGAATTTTATTCTCATCAGAGAAGTCCTGGAGATATGCTCTAAAACTGGCTAGAAGCCCTCAAAGCAAATTGCTCATCAAATTAAACTTCCTAATATTATCAATGTGGAATATCTAAAGAGGAGCGTGGGACTCTTTTGAAGTCTGTTCATGTGCAAAAAATAGTTTTAGAAAATCCCCATGAAAAAACTCTATGCCTTGTCACCTTCACTTAGAAACCATTTTTCTATATTCAGCTGCAAAATGTTTGTTTTATAAATACAGTTTGCACCAAGAAGATTGTAGAATTGATAAAACTCCATTTATGTTGCCTGCATTCCTGAAACACCATAACAATTTGTACACATTTTACAAGACAATGCCTCCTTCAAACAAGCTCTTGTATTTTAAGTTCTAACCCTCAGGCAGTTTTTCTCCCAGGAAATAAGACCTTATAACAAGGCTACAGAGACTCACATCTCAAGGAGAAAGTAGATTAAACCCAGTCATATGATTTACAACATACAGCAAGAGAGATTAGCTATTTCAGCCCTTGATGTTTCATTGCCTATAGCAGTAGAGAGGCATATCTAAATTTTCTAGTGTATCATGACATGCACATGCAGTTTGGTATGTCAATGAGGTTCCTGTATTAATGCAATGTGCAGTTCTGCATTTTCAGCTCATGATGAATTTGCATTATGATGAGTATATCCAGTAGGAAGATTTTTTAAAATGAGGTCCATGTACAGGACATATAAAAGAACAAAATAAAATACACATACAATGAAAAATCCAAAACAAGGATGGACATTATCTTTATGAGACCATTGAAATCTCAAAAATAAGCTAACTTTTGAGACCTGCAGGGCTCTTCACAAGATTGTCCACTGAAGAGAAGGCAGTTTGGGGACTGGATTAGAACAGTCCCTGTATCATCCTGGCCAGATGTTAAGACCAAGATCTCCCAGTTTAAAGTGAAGTTCCAAAATAGAGATAGCAACCTTGTAAGACCAGTTTGAGATGTTAGATTTCACCACATATGACAAAGATTTCATTGCCTTTTGCCAACTTTTTGTCAGTTGCTCAACATCTTTCCAAATGCCTAATAAAGAAAAAATTAGCCAGTGTTTGGCTTGGAACAGGGATGTTCAGAAACACAGTAATCCCTGTATCAGAAAAACTGGACATTAAATTTAGGTTACACATTAGACAAAAAGAAGATGTAAGGAAATAATTAAAGAAATGCAAACCATTATGTTCACTATGACTGGAATAAGCCGGCTTACAAATCCCATCAACTGCAGCCTGCACAGCCAGTTACCAGGGATTATGTGAAATATCATCCAAAACTCTCATTTGGAGGGCACCAGATGTAAAGTAGGGCCAGGGGTCCCTCAGATATGGCTACACTTTTAATAATTCATAGCTAGGATAGCCAATGAAGGAAGATGATGGGGGTTGTACTTCAACAACACTCAGATGCCCATATGTTCCTCAATCCAGGTATGCAGTATGGTGAAACCACCCAATTTGATTTTACAGTGGTACCTCGACTTACAAACGTTCCTAGTTAAGAACATTTCGACTTACGAACAGCTCTGGTCGCAACTTTTGCTTCTACTTGCGAACGGAGCTTCCACTTAGGAACAGAAACAGGCAGGGGAAAAAGGTGGGCAATTCAATTTTCTAACTGTAGGTGGCGGCGAGGCTGCTTCTTTGTGCTGTAGCGCTTTCAGCAGTTATAGGGTGTGTTGCAGCTGGAGGCTTGGGAGAGCCTCCTGCTTCGGAGTGAGCGTGTGTGTGTGTATCTGCAGGGAGGTAAGCTGCTGTTTTCTCCTTTAAAAAACCTGTTCTGAGTGGGTTTTGGGGGCTCTGCTTCAGAGTGAGTGTGTGTGTGTGTGTGTGTCTGCAGGGAGGGTTTGTTTCTGTGCTCTGCTTCGGAGTGTGTGTGTGTGTGCGCGCGCGCCTGTATTTTTGGAGGTTTTTTCATTCTTAAACCTCAGCAACAGAGGTGGCTCTAGTGTCTGTCTGTTTTTTGAGGTTTTTTCTTAAAGTCTCAGCAACGGAGCACCTTCCGACTGGGCTTGCTGTGCTCTTTTTATTTTTGTGGGTTATTTTTTTCCTCTGGGCAGCAGGGGGGGAAGCCGTGGCTGCTGACCGGAGTGAGGGAAGCTCCGGAGGAGCAGGAGGAGGCAGGCAGGCAGGCAGGCAGGCAGGCGAGCGCTTCCCGGCCAGGTGTCTGGCCCTTGCCCCGTTCACTTTGGCCAGCCTTTGAGGCTCCCTTTCTCTCCTGGGTTTGGTTTTGTTTTTTTGCAGCCCCAGCGCGTTCCTATGGGGCTTGCAATATTTTATTTTTATTTTTAATTTTTTCTTCGGCTGGAATGGATTAATCGGTTTTCAATGCATTCCTATGGGAAATGGTGCTTCGACTTATGAACTTTTCGAGTTATGGACACTGTTCCAATACGGATTAAGTTCATAAGTCAAGGTACCACTGTATAATCATGACTGATATAGGTTGTAGTCACAACAGAAGCATAGGCAGGACTATTTTTACAAATGTTACCATATTAGTACCAACAACTAAGACACTGGTGTTTTTAATGTGCTTTCAAGTTGCCTCTGACTTATGGCAACCTCATGAATAACTGATCTCCAAAATGTGTTGTCCTCAACAGCCCTGCTCAGCTCTTGTGAATTTAAGATAGTGGCTTCCTTTAGAGAGTCAATCCATTTCATATTTGGTCTTCCTCTTTTCCTCATGCCCTCAACCTTTCCCGGCATTACTGTATTATCTTTTCCACTGAAGCTTTCCTTCTTTCGCTTCTTGGCCTTTTGGCTAAGATCAAGTGTAGATGTTTTATAGCTGTTTCAAGTTGCTTTAAATAACAATTGGACTCAAACATACAAAGTGCTAATTTTCACTGAGAAGGCCAAGAAAGTTAAATTAAATGGCATATCTCAAAATACTGAACAGGGCAATATGGTTCAGTTCAAACTTCATTTTGAAATCTCCCAAAACATGAATCTTAAATAGTTATTTTTATGGTAATTTAATAAATTTAAAATCATAAGCTCAGACTGCTCTCCTCTGATGTATTCTTAAAAGGCATTAGCATCCTGTCTACATCTATAACCTTCCCCCAGGCAACATTACTCTTCAACCAGCAACTCTGAATTCCCTGGACCACATATAACCCTATAGAACACAACTAATATTAATCATGTCTACCTAGCAAAGAAAAACAAGGCCTTCTATATTAATTTCCTTTTCAAGAAAGGTCATGGCGTTAGTTGAACACATATGATGTCTAGACAATATGCCTGCATGCTTAAAAGGGGGGGGGTACATTATCAGAAGCACAGGTGATTGTCAACAGTTCTTTCTTTCTCCATTGTACTTTGAAGAAAATGTTATAAAGTCATTCTGCAATCAGTATTTCATATTACAGTACTTAAACTGCTGGTGGAAGCTGAGGCTCCAATACTTTGGCCATCTCATGAGAAGAGAAGACTCCCTGGAAATGACCATGATGTTAGGAAGGTGTGAAGGCAAGAGAAGAAGGAGACGACGGAGGATGAGATGGTTGGACAATGTCACCGAAGCTACCAACATGAGTTTGACCCAACTCCGGGAGGCAGTGGAAGACAGGAGGGCCTGGCGTGCTCTGGTCCATGTGGTCACAAAGAGTCGGACTTGATTAAACAACTAAACAACAACAAAACTGTTGGTATGTTCTACTAACCTATATTGTGATGGAGGAAAGCTACCTGAGTGCAAGTCATTTGCCTCAGTAAATGCATCAGAATCACTGAAGTGAGGCTAAAATTTGGAGTATGTTCTCCTTCTGATTGAAATATCAGTGGCACTTTGATATCCGCACAATGCAGTTCAACATTCTGAATCTGCCTGCCCATAGAAGCAAAGTAGGCTATATCTATAGAATATCTATAGAATGTGTTGGCTTTGCAACCCAAAACCTGCTGAATTTTGGCAAAAAACAACATTATCAGTCATTTTAACACAAACATCTCAACACTTAGCCAAATATTACTGTGAAACTTGCAATCTGTGCAAAAAACTGACAGCAACAAGACTTAGAAGAACAGTGCTTTTCCATTTCCTTTGTTATTTGATCTGTGGTATTGACTATCAGTGGACTGCATATTTATAGTACTGTATGTAAGAGAATGAAAGGAGTATGACAAGGCTGTATATTGTCTCCCTGCTTATTTAACTTATATGGAGAATACATCATACAAAAGGCAGGACTGGATGAATCCCAAGCTGGAATTAAGACTGCTGGAAGAAATATCAACAACCTCAGATATGCAGATGATACCATTCTGATGGCAGAAAGTGAAGAGGAATTAAAGAACCTCTTAATGAGGGTGAAAGAGGAGAGTGCAAACAATGGTCTGAAGCTCAACATCAAAAAATCTAAGATCATGGCCCATGGCCCCATCACCTCCTGGCCCCATCACCTCCTGGGGAAGATAGGGAGGCAGTGATAGATTTTACTTTTTTGGGTTCCATAATAACTGCAGATAGTGACAGCAGCCACAAAATTTAAAGACACCTGCTTCTTGGGAGGAAAGCGATGACAAACCTAGACAGCATCTTAAAAAGCAGAGATATCACCTTGCCGACAAAGGTCAGCATAGTCAAAGCTATGGTTTTTCTCAGTAGCGAAGTATGAAAGTGAGAGCTGGACTGCCGAAGAATTGATGCTTTTGAATTGTGGTGCTGGAAGAGACTCTTGAGAGCCCCCTGGACTGCAAAGAGAACAAACCTATCCATTTTGAAGGAAATCAACCCTGAATGCTCACTGGAAGGACAGATCCTGAAGCTGAGGCTCCAATACTTTGGCTATCTCATGAGAAGAGAAGACTCCCTGGAAAAGACCCTGATGTTGGTAAAGTGTGATGGCAAGAGGAGAAGGGGATGACAGATGACGAGATGGTTGGACAGTGTCATCGAAGCTACCAACATGACTTTGACCAAACTCCGGGAGGCAGTGGAAGACAGGAGGGCCTGGCATGCTCTGGTCTATGGGGTCACGAAGAGTCGGACATGACTTAATGACTAAACAACAACATGTGAGAAAGCTAAAATCACTAGCAAGTAATAACAGAATGCAATATTTTTAAAGGGAAAATAAAATTGCCAGGTATACTTAAACATTAATGCTTAATGGAAATTTTTTCTCCAGTGTAATGGTAAAATATTAGATGGATATGTCACACCAAACAGATGGCTTATATCAGTGCTTTCCAATCATTTGGTTATGGACTGATTTATATTAATATGATTTCTTATTATGAATTTCCCAGCATCCGACTGAATCTGAAGACTCATCCTCAAACTAAGGATCAGGATTCAGGACTGCACTAGGGTCCCTTCCAGCTTTGCAGGTCTATGATGATGATGATGATGATGAAACTATATAACTTTCAGTTTAAACTTTATTTCATTAAATACAAAAACAATGTTACCACATTCCTTCCCTAAGGGATTTTGAACAAGAAACTGGGGTAATGTTAAATGTTCTTATTGATTTTTTTAACGTTGTAAGTAGTAAAAGGAGAAGCTGCCAGATTGACTTCTAAGCCATGTCACCAAATCCCTTACTTTGCCTATAAAGTTTTGTACCAGGAACGTACAGTACTTTGGGATTTGAACTTATTTAGAAATCTGAAGCAAAGGAGGGAGGGAGAGACTTATCAGTTTCCAAATCAATCCAAAGTGAAGCTTGAAAGCTTGAGGTGGCAGTTGAATGAAATTGGCTCTCTGAAGAACCAAATATTACTTCTGCGCTTCATGGTTAAAAAAACTGAACATTAAAAAAAACCACTCACTGGGAAAATGAAAGTAATACTGTAACACAACTAGGAATCTCAAGGTAGAAGGAGATTAAAACCTCAAACACTAATGAAAAGTTCAAGGTGCCCTATAAACCCCAATCATGGAGCTACTGGGAACCAGGAAGCCCAAAGCAAATGAAGATTGACAGCTCAGGTACCACTGAAAAATCCTAGCTACCCTAGAAACCTCAATCACAGAGCCACTGGGAGGGAATTCTCCTGGCCCTGCAACAGCTGGCCTTTTTGTGAAGCAAGCACTTTGGAAAGAATGGAAACCAATTGCATTGCTTTGATTTTCAGGAGGTAGGGTGAGTGTGCATTGGATAATTTCTCCTCTTTTCTTTTAGGCAGCTACAGATCTCTATCCACTTGACTAAGAGCCTCTGTGTATGTGAAGATTGTACTACTGTGGGGAACTGAGCAGGAAAAGTCACACTATAGTTAGTAATAGGGCATATGCTGTCTAAATTGCATAGCTCCCAGCTGGGTGGTGAGGAGGAGAAAGGAAGAAGGGAATGAAGGAGACTGGTGTGAGCTTTGCCTGTACATTGGAGGTGAAGCAGTAGTTGATTTCACAATTCCAAGTCAGAGCCCTTTATTTTTCTTATTTTCAAGTTTTTTCACTATTTAGAAAATACAAATAGGTAAAAATACTTACAAACCAGATAGGCTACAAATCAGCTCAAAGCAAATTGAAAGTGATTTCTAACATAAATAATTTGGATCAAACTAGAGCAGATACACAGACCTAGTTTTTACTAGTCGTTAAAAATTCATTTCTGCTGCTTTGATAACTCACATTCAAAAATATTGCTCACCCATGTCAGCTGTGACCATAGTTGATTGGTTTTCTGGGACAGAAACAGAAGTTTGATCTTGGTCCATACTGTGTGAATCTTCATTGGCTTCATGCTGACTATGACTAAGTTCTGACCGAAGTTCTGAATATTCATCTTCTTCCCTGAATAGACAGTCAAAAAAATATTTTTCTATCAATCAACAAACAGAAAAGGCACATATATTGGTCCTATAACTGAAACAATTAATCACAATTTCTTTTTTTATGTTACTAAATACAAGCCAGCATTAAGGCAACAGAAAAATTTCTAACCCAGTCTTCCCTTCTGATCACATCACTATCTGTTATTATTTTATTTTATCTAGAAGCTGTTTTTCTCACTGACAGCTTACACTAAAACAGTAATAACGAACTCAGTGCTCAAAATCCTCTTGTGTAGTTACAGTGGCAGAAAGTAAACAATGTATTGTAATCTACAATGGCTTCTTGTTGTTAATTAATGAATACTTGCTGGATTTTCAGACATGGAACTCAGTCTGGTGACTGACACACACCTAGGGTTGCCAGATGCAAGGGTACCAAAAGGAGGACAGAGAAAGACAAAAAAGAGGATGGAGGAGGACATTTTGAATGTTTCATTTGTATCATTCCAGATTAAACCCGCAATCAATACGATTTTATTACAATAGCTGCCAATAAATGTCTCTTAGGGAACCGACCAAGAAACAATCATGTTAAAAAATTAAAATAAATTCAATGGGGGCTTTTTTCCAAAATTCCTTTCCACCTCTCCGCCCCATCCAAAATTATAACATAAAATATACAAAAGCCTGATATTTTAAAGGTTTTTATCTTTACCTGCCAGATGGAGGACATTAGGCTAAAAAAAAGGACATGTCCTCCTTTTGCCTGACATCTGGCAACCCTACATACACCTGAAAATCCAAGCAGGGACATGTTAATGGCCAGCAAGAAGCTACTGTAAATTATGTATAAATACACATTAGTTTCTTGGACAGCACATTACAAATATCAGAATATACTTTTAACCCAGTGAAATTTTAAAATTCAGTTAAAATACAGTAAAACATCTCAATAAAAATAGTAGCAAATGCCAGAAATAAAAGAAAACCAGCAGGCCATTTGTTTAAGGCCTGATGGAATAAAAATATATTTGTCAGCTGGCAGAAGGACAACACAGAGAGCATCCTAACCCAAACCTCCCATTGGCAGAATTCCAAAGAGTGGGAGTGGCCACAAAGAAGGTCCTATCTTGAATTCGCACCAAATGAGACTTGCTTGCTGGTGGATGTCTGCAATATTCCCATGGATCTATAGGGTTTTTTTTTTCTCTAATGGCAAAAAATGATAGCCCTCTCATGAGAATATTACCAGAAGGCCAATATATGCGACAAAATGTCATTATTTAGTTATATTTACTAGCAATGTACCTTCCTGCTTGATAGGGTACCATTTTCCCTCTTTTTCAGAATAAAACAGTTCTATAAGATGGGCTGAGATGTACTGACTGACCCAAGGATATCAAACAAGTTTTTGACTAAGCAAGGATTTAGATTTGTGTTTTCCTGCTCTATGTCTAACACCCTAATTCATTACATTACAGTGTTTCCCTTAGATTAGTGGTTCCAAGGCTAAAATATATTGGTAGAAAAAAATTAGTCAATGCACTTAAATTGCATAATATGAAAAACCAACAATAATTAGGATACCATATAAATTTGCATATTATGCAAATTGCCTAATTTGCATAGTATGCAACACTGGCATGATATTTAAACTAGGATGCCCCAATTTGAAGAGCTGGAACATGGCACCCTAGTATGTGCAAATTAACTTGGTGTGTGTCAAGAAGATGACAGGGTCCCCTGAGCAATAAAGAAATTAATGGCTTCTTCCAAGTGCTCAATATTGCTAAGATCCACTGATTAAAAAAAAATGTTTATGAATGATTTATTTATACTACATTGAGGAAGAGAACCAGCATAAACTCCCTGAGATTACAAAAAATGCGTACAGTAGGACCATGTAGTAGTAATATTTATTTTGTGGTCACAGACCTAATACATTTAAAATTTCAAGAATGATTTAAAACAATTTAAAATTAAGTAGATTCAGCTGTAAAACATTGAATATTATAAAGCACAGGTGAGAATTTCATGTTCTGTGTGCAGAAAAAAAAGAAACTTGGCCACAAGTTCTGTTGTGGGCTTATTTGTGTTTGCTAGAAAATATCTTGTGTACCAGTCCAAGGGACCTGCCTGGGAAATCTCTCATTACAGGGCTAAGGAGTCTGGCATGGTCATCCCTGTAAAAACTGCATTTGAAAAGGATATGCTCTAATGTTTCAATTTCTTTATCATTAAAAGGCATAGTCGATTTTCATATGATAGGCCCATGGTACCCGCAAGGGATCACTTCCAAGCCTCTTCATGCTGAAACTCACAGATGATAGCAAACCCCATACAGTATATAGCATAGTTCTGGAGCCCTCTACTAGCCAGTTCTGGTAATTACATCACGGAAATATGTATTTCTGGGGTTTTTTATTTAATATTTTTAATATTTTCAGACAGCAGATAAGTGAAACTACGCATACTGATCCTACAGAAATAGGGGTCATACTGTATTCATTTTTATAATTAAAGAAAAAGAGCTACATTTTCTTTAATTTCCTTCACTTATTATTACTCGATGCTGCTAACAATTCTATTATTTATGTATACCACCTTTTCTCTCAGTAAGCCGGTTGCAATAAGGGCTATTTATTGGCAAGGGCAATTGGGCATCATACTTCCACGCATTAGACATATTAATAATAAAAGTTTCTAGAATAGCTAACTTCAGCTCAAAAGCATACTTTCTCAACAATATCAAGAACAAAACATACAAAATACTGTAAAACAGTTACAGTATATGAAGAACAGATCTGAAGAATATTTTAAAATGTTGCGCAATACATGATAAAGCAAGTGAGGGAAGTAAATCCCAAGTGGTATAAATTAAAGTCTAAGATAATAAAATGTGAATTAACAGTCTATGAATAAGTTAATTATTAGGCACAACACAAGCCAACAATAATTAGCTTTAGACAAAAAACAATTACCACACAGTCAAAGAACTGTCTTTTTTGGTCAGAAGGGTAATTTGTTTGCTCATTTATGTCAACTCTCTGCAATTAGCCTTTCATTTGAAAACCTGAATTACCTCTCTGAGCGGAAAAGAGGATAGGCTAATCACAGTGGTAATACTTGTACACACAAGCTGTAATGAACATTGTTTGCTATTATTTTTAGTCACACAGATTTAAACCCACAATATGACATGGTTTTAACTTCTTTTTCCACCTCATGAAACTAAATGTTATGAGCTGGCTGGAGATTTAAGTCAAACTTTCAGAAATACTGTAGTCAGTGTACAAAGTAGTGCACAAATGAATAAGAAGGTAAAATCGATTCTGCAATACTGTGTATTATTAAACTATACTCGTTGGCATAACTACTGAGAAAGAAGACCAAAGAAGGACGTCTTTGTTTACCAAAGATCACCATAGATTTATTGGGAGGGGGAGATTTCTGATAAGTAAACACTCTTCCATTCTTTCTACTGGCTTACAAAAACTGCTCACAAATGATTTATTTCTATTGCACATATTACATTGAGGAAGCTGCCACAGTTTCAACACAATGAAACAAATTATTCACAAAGGTCAGTCAGCCTCTGAAAAGAAGCAAGAAGTCTTTGATTACCAAAAATCTCCTCTGCTGATGAGGTCATCACCCATCCATCAGATGTAGTTTCAACAACAGGACTTCAGCAAATTTATTTAAAGAGCTTTCAGTTCCAGTTTTCATTTTGTGAAGCTTCAAGGGATTTCTATTTAAAAATTAGTCTAGCTCAAATGAAACTACAGTACTGTAGGTTTAAATTAAAATACAGTACAAAACTCACCCTGTTTATAACAGAATGCACGGTAGGCCCACTAGTGTTTTTATATTCATTTAAACTGAAATACGAGTTTGGTAGCTATAGAGCATCTTCTGAGAATTAAATCTCAGATTTCTCTATTTTTCATCCTTGAAAAATACATCAGGAACATGGGCTCTTGAAGTTCTTGCTTCTCCCACATAAGCACTTATACCCAAATGAATATAAATAAAACAAACTTAGAAAGAAAAGGAATACATCAAATTTAGAGGCATGAGAGGAAAAGGAAAACAAACCAAAAATAGGGTGAGATAAACAACATATGAAGGAATGAGGCAACAGAAACCTGAACAGTTTTTGGAGATGAGTGTTTTACCTCACAAGGTAAGACTAAAGGTTTAGTCACGTTATTCATTATTAGTTACTTACTTACTTACCGTAATGGAAGAACATAAAATTAAAGATAGCCTGGGAAAAAGATATTAGGAAACAGATTATGGATTTAATGTAGAAAAACAAACAACTAAATTCTATTTCAGTCACAATTAGAGATACATGATTAAACACTTAATACATAAGAGATATTCAACCAAACTGATACTAAAAAAAATCAATGCCAAATCCTCCATAAATTTCTAAAGGGGGTAAAAATTCCTATTTGACCTTTAAAAATGGATATGTTTCAGTTTGTGTTTTCTGAGGATGTGGACACAATCACTGGAGAGGTGAGAGTGTGAGGCGAGGAGTCACCTCAGCCATGATCAGAAGTGTGTACCGTCCGACTCTCAAACAAAGACAGAAGAAGAAGAGACAGGAGTTATAGAAAGGGAATTAAGGAAATTAGAAATAGAGAAAGAGACTGAAGGGGGTGCTAACTGGGTGTGAAAGGAGGAGGATAAAAGAGGGGAAGAAGGAGAGGGAGAGGCAGAAGCATGTTGGGGAAGAGAGGAGAAAGAAGAAGAAAAAGAAGAGCTTGTGGAGTTGGTTGAAGAAGATCCTTGGACAGGAGAGTGGGTGGAATTCAGAGTACCCGTGAGTACACTAAAAAGAAATGGAGACAACAGATGCATAGAAAGCCACCTTACTGGGGGGAGACTGAAGAGAGAAAGCAAAGGAAAGAGTACAGCGTGTGGATAAAGAGGGAAGAACAGAGAAGAGAAAGGCAGAGATGTGAACCCAGAGATATCCTGTGGGCCTAGCCCCTTCAGACCCCGATG